AAGGGGGAGAATGGGGAGGTGGAGAGGGGGGAGTGGGAAATGGAGGGGGAAATGGGAGGGGGAAAGGGGGGATCGGGAAATGGCAGGGGAGTAGGGGTGGGGAAATGGGAAGGGGGGTGGGGGAAATGGGGAAGGGTTGGGGGAAATGGGAGAGGAGAGGGGACAAGGGGTGGGGGGAAATGGGAGTGGGGAGGGGAGTAGGGGGTGTGGAAATGGGAGGGGAGAAGGGGTGGGGGAAATGGGGTGGGGGGGAAGGGAGATGGGATGTGGGAAATGGGAAGGGGGAGGGGAGATGGGGTGGGGGAAATGGGAAGGGGGAGGGGAGATGGGGTGTGGGAAATGGGAAGACGGAGGGGAGATGGGGGTGGGGGAAATGGGAAGGGGGGAGGGGAGATGGGGTGGGGGAAATGGTGGGGGAAATGGGAGGGGCGTGGGGGAAATGGGATGGGGGAGGGAGAAGGGGTGGGGAAATGGGAGGGGGAAATGGGAGGGGAGATGGGAGGGGGAAATGGGAGGGGGAAATGGAGAGGGAGAGGGGGAAGTGGGAAATGGAGGGGGAGTAGGGGGGAGGGGGAAAGGGGGGAAAGGGGGGAGTGGGAAATGGAGGGGGAGAGGGGGAAATGGCAGGGGAGTAGGGGTGGGGAAATGGAAGGGGGGGTGGGGGAAATGGGGAAGGGTTGGGGGAAATGGGAGGGGAGAGGGGACAAGGGGTGGGGGAAACGGGAGTGGGGAGCGGAGAAGGGGTGTGGAAATGGGAGGGGAGAAGGGGTTGGGGAAATGGGAGGGGGGACGAGGGGTGGGGGAAATGGGAAGGGTGGTGACTGGGGAAGAGAAGGGGCCAGGGTGGGGAATTTTGGGGTGGGGAATGGGTTTGGGAGGGAATGAGGAAAGGGAGAATCCGGGTAGGGGAATAGGGGGATGGGTCGGGGAGGGAATGGGGGAGGATCAGGAAGGGGGAGGAAGGGTCAGGGAATTGGGGGATAGGAGGGATGGGTGTTAGGCTGGGTGTAGGGGTTTTATGTGGTTGAGTGTGTGTTTGTGTGGTGGAAGTGGGCATGGGAGAGGGTGTGTGGGTGTTTGTGATGGGGGTGTAAGAGGTGGTTGGGGAGTGGAATCGTTAGGGAAGGGTGTGTTTTGGGTGTGAGGTAGGGTGGGTGGTTGTGTGAGGGTGGGTGGGTGGGTGTAAAATGGGGTGAGAGAATGTGTGTGGTGCAGGGACGGAGTGGGGGGGGGGATGAAGGGGTCATGTGTTATTTGAGGGTGTGTGTGGGTGAGGATAGTGAGCTGGGGGAGTCAATACTGGGTGTGGGTGTGTGGGGGAAGATTGTGGGGGAGTGCATTAGTGGGTGTGGCGGGTGTTGGGAAAGAATGGAGAGGTTGTGTGTGTGTGGATGGGTGTGTGAGGAGGTGGCTTTGGGTGTGGGGAGTCTTTGTGTGGAGTGTGGGTGTGTGGGAGAATGAAGGGTGTGGTGGTTGTGAGGGTGAGATTGTGGGGGGGACGGGACTGTGTGAGGTATGGTGGTTGTGAATATGGGTGTTTTGGGTGTGAGTGTGGTGTGAGGGTGTTGGTATGAGTTTCTGAGGGAGTGTGTGGGGTGTGTTTTTGGTTAGGAGTGTGGGGGAAGGCATGTGCGGGTATGTGTGTGGGGGGATTGAGTTTCTGAGGGTGGTTGTGTGCAATGGGGATGTGTGTGTGGGTGTGTGTATTTTGGAGTTGTATGTGTGTTTTGGATAAGTGTGTGAGTATGCGGGAGGGGTGTGTATTTTAGGTGTGTGGGCGTAATGTGGGTGTTTTTGGTGTGTGGGGAGGGGAAGTGTGTGTGGGATGTGTGTGGGTGGTGGAGTGCATGTGGGGGGAGTGGTATTGTGGGGGAGGCTTGATGGGGGGAAGGAGTGTGTGGGTGTGGATGTGTGTTGTGGTATGGGGGAAGTGCGTGTAAGTGGGGCATGTGTGCGAGGTGGTGGTGTGGGTAGTTCTGTGTGAGGGGGGAGTGGTTGAGGGTGGGTGTCTTATCACAAACCAGAATGCAATTTTCTAACAACAAAGCAAAGATATTTTCATTTCAGTTCCATTTCGAAGAAATAACTGTTTAAAATTTTCTGTTAAAAATTGCATTGGTCGCAACTTTTTGTGAAAAATTTTTCTTAAAGAATTCTCTTTATAACAAAAAATGAAATTGTGCTCCAATAGTAGCTGATTACAAGATTACAGCCTAAGCTTATGTTAAAAAGATTAAAAGATGTTACCCTACTAGTCAATTTAATCAGGCTACCCCAAAACTGAGCCCACTAGCTAACCAATCAAGAAGAGAGAGACTTACTTTCATTAAGGTTGTTGATGGTCTCCCTCTCTTCCTGGGTGCCGTCAGGTTTCCTGATGGTGGTGAAAGAGTAGGACTTGTCCCCCACAGATCTGGTGACTGTTGTCTCTTCACGGCCAGAGGAATCCCTCACCACTTCCTTCTTCTCCACTTTCTGTTAAAAAAAACAACAACATTATAGATTTGTGAACAACAAACTTCATTCCATCTTCAATTACTAGCCTAGCAATAAACAAACACACATAGATCTCTGTATAATCCTCACCAAACGTTGGGCAAAAAAAAATTTTTTTTTTAAATATTCAAGCATAAAACATTTTTTTTTAAATACTTATTTTTATTTTCTTTTAAACACTGCAAGTAAATCTGCTTTTTACTTGACATACTGTGGTTAATTTTGATGATGAGCAAGGATAGAATCTGGTAGCACAGTTTTACTTATCAATACACCGGACACATCATTATTATTATTTAATTTAGTTATTAGCATGAAATTTAATGATTGAGTAATATTATTCTAGGAACGGAGTAGCTTAGTTGTAGAGCACTAGACTGCTAACCCATAAGCGTAAGTCCTGAGTTAGAATCCAGGTTCAAGTAGTAAGACCAATTCTGATGGGTACCTAACTCACGGTAGGGAAAGTAAAGGCGGCTGGGCATAGTGCTGACCAAACAATCCCTTTATACACCTCACAGAAACAGGTGAGCTTCACTTCACTTGCCCCATAGACCGTCAGGTTTGGAATAGGAAATTTACCAATTGCTTACTAATATTATTACTATTATTTTTAAAATTTCATTATTGTAATAAAACGCGCCGACTATCTCCCTCACTAAATACTGATGTAGCAGGTTAGCAAATGTGAATTTTATCATTTGGCTTAGGAAAGAGAAACAACAGCTTTGCCATTTTAGGTGGAGTTTATGTAAAATAGGGATGGCATGGCCTAGTGGTAGAGCGCTAGACTACTAAACCAAAAGTCTGAAGCTCGAATCCAGGTCAAGTCCCTGAGCCCTGTTAGGACAAGTAAAAGCGGCTGGGCTGCTGATCACATTTACCATTCATATGCCGAGATTACAGAAACTCTACTTCATGTTAGGTCCAAAAAGGTAACTTTACTTATGTATTGTGATCGGGCAGTAGGGGGTGGGGAATGGTCTGCGGTGTATTGACAATATAAACAAAATGGTGTGTTAGATATCCTAGTGCAGCAAAATGGTACCCACATACCCCATCAGGTCCCATAATCCTAGAAAAACTGTATGACTTGGTTGAAGAGAAGAAGCCAGGTTTGCTATGCCGGTATGGCTCAACAGCTTGTATTTCTTCTGAGGGTGCTTTGATTATGTCCAAAAGTTTGTTGTCTGGAATTTTACCATCAAGATCTGTTGATGTGAAGGAGGAGATTTATGTTTCAACATTATTTTCTACATAAACAGATATTTTGTGAGAAAAACACTAGTATCTTGTTTTTTCTGAAGGTGTACATAGGCCATAGTGATTTGACTTTGATGAAAATAATACATTGATTACTAAACATGGGATGGTGTGGTTGATTGGCAGAGAACTCAAATGCTGGCCTTAAGGTCTCGAGTTCGGACCTCTGTCCCTATTCATGACTGTAGGATGTTCCTGTCCACCCAGCTGTGATGGTTACATGACCCATTTTATGGTAAGTAAAGTCAGCTGGGCATAGTGCTGATGTACTGTGGTACATACAAACTTACACACATTTTTTTTACAAAAAGACTACTTCTAATTTGAAAACAAATGTAATACAGCTACAAAAAAGAAAAAAAAAATATACTGCTTGTCAGGGTACATTGACACTAAAAATAACTTGAGAATTTAAAAGTCATTGCCAAATAAAAAGTAATTCACAAAATACTGACCAGTGTCACCTAGACCATCACTTGTAGGTGGAACAGCGAAAAGGTTGGGGATCTGGGGGAGTTGAAATAGACATACTAGAGTTTTATTTATTTTAATATATTACGGTTTAACTTTATAATAAAAAATTTAAAATGACTAACTTAAAAACAAATAAAAAACTAAATTAATATTTAACAATTAAATTTATAAATTAAATATTCATTAAATAATTTAAAAATTATTTGAAATTCAATCATATTTCACAATTTGAAAATAGAACAAAATCAAAGCATACTCTGTTTGTTCCTCCATTAGGGGGGACAATCACTGGTTTAGTATCCTCCTCAACACCATCTTTCAACATGAAATCTCTGGGGTTTTTCTTGATGCCTCCACCAGGACGTTTGAAAAAAGGTGATGCCCACACTATCACGTTGTCTGAGCTACTTTTATCGTTGATGCTGGGCGTGGGATCGTCTTTAGGGAGCGGGACACGTGGGCTTTCAAACACTAGATGGGATCATAAAAAACAAAACATGAAAACTTTACAAAATAAATCTCTAAAAGAGGGTAGTATTATTTTGGGAAATTTGTTTTTTTTATTTATGTTTAATATATTAGAACTTTTGGCTATGGGAAACCTCCATTAATATTAATAAAAAAAAAGAAAATTACATTTAAAAGCAAAGCAAACCCAGATTACTAATATAGACAAATATAGATTACTTTGTGCTGGCACTAATGATAATAATTAAATAGATATTTTATTTTATTGGATAATTCAGAAAAACTATGAGCTTGATTTGATATATAAGACCAGCATCACCAGTTGGTGTTCTTGCAACTTACTTTTATTCGACTCAACAAAGGCTAATGAGTTCACATTTATTCGTAAATCTATGTAGCCTACTCTATGCTAGTCACTACAAAAAGCCTACTAACAATCCTTCACTGCTTTTGCTTCAGCATTCAATCTTGGGATAACAATACATAGACACCCCTCACCAGGGTAAACTCAACTCACACACGCACTATCCCCTAAGTTCTAGACTACTCTACCCTATTCTAGCCTAACCTCCAAATAATAAGTACTAGTCTTAGCCATTCCCCTGATTTTTTACCAGTTATAGTGTCTCATTCTCTTGTTTATCAGTAAAGTACCTACAAATTACAATATCCTGAGTATCTTGCATTTTAAGAACTGGCATCACTATTATAGTCCAAATAACCCTGACACCACCCACGACCCCCCCCCCCCCCTCCATAGTACAAGTCCTGAAAATAGCCATAATTCTAAAGATAATCATGGAAACATATCTTTTTAAACACCAACACATTGTCTTAAATATGAACATCTACCCAAAGTTTGCGAAGTCATTGATGGATACCCATGCAATAAAAATTGTACCTGTGGAAAAATCTACAACGCCAAATCCTTTCATCATGTCTTCCATTTGCCTATGTAATGCAGCCATTTGTCTTTGCATGTCACCGTGGAAGTGTTCAAACATGTGTTCCATGTCAAAATTTTTACCAAAGAAGTTTACCCTGTAAAATAAGGTTCAACAATCATAAATGTTGTATCAACAAAATGATTAGAAATTAACCAGATATTTGTTTTTGTTTTTTGAATTTTTAGAATTAACTTAATTTAAACTAAATGCAGTGTGTTCATAAATCAGATGAGGCATAGCTTGAGATTTTATTTCACTAAGGATTCAGTCTAACCCAGGGGTCGGCTACCTTTTGAAGCGGAAGAGCCAAAAGTTACAATTTTAAAAATTTCCTTGGTTTTAAAGAGCCACTAAAATTTTTTTTATTTTAAATATTTTATTTTTTTATTAAGATTATTAGTATTTGTTCAAGAAGCTGGAGAGCCGCATCTTGATATCAAACCCAATGCCTAATGAAAATGTATCCTTTTTTAATTTCGTATTGTGGTTGACCAGTTTCTGTGACAACAGCATATGAAGTTATGTAGGTATAGTATGGTCAGCACTATACTTAGCCAAAGTGAGTGCACTTTGTTTAAATTTCATGTAAGCTTCAAATAAATATTTAAAGCACTTTAGAAATGGTAATCTATCGCTTTAGGCAAGTTTAGGTACGTAAAATCGGCCGCGGCTAGTAATGTACGAAAAAGTTACCTCATTGTTTAGGCTTTAATAGAAGTATATTGTGATATATTTGTGTCAAATATTATAGATAACTAAATAATGAACCAAAACCAATGGCTAAATATATCCAATATAGGCCAGAAATTAACTTTAAACAGCAGTGTTTGCGAGCAAGATTTGCTATATAAACAGCAGCCATTTGTAAAATAGAGTGGCTTCTCTTGAATCTCCCGCTATAAATTTTCAAAAAAAAAAAAAAAAAATTAAACATGGTGGCCGAGTAAATGAGCGTGGTTGCATCTGACTGCAGTCTTAAATTCATAAATTTAAAAACAGGTACATAAATGAAACTTGGAAACATTTTTGTAACTTTCAAAAATAAAATCCTCCTATTAATGTGAAATAATTATTAAAATTTAAGGAGTCACCTGTTTTTCACATTACTAGTTGTGGGTGATTTTACGTACCTAAAGCGATAGATTACCTAGAAACAAAATGTTCAATTCTAAACTCTATGCCCCTATCGCCACTATTGGCAGCCTATGCCATAGATGATAGTGCTTTAGGCAGGGTACCTAGATTCTAGTACTTAGTACTTAGTACCTAGGATTGAGAACTTGATCTTGAGTCTAGAATCTAGACTCTCTAGATGAGTAGATCTAGAATCTAGATCTATTTCACATATTGACATATGCATAATTATAATTTAATTATAGCCTAAGTCCGACTAAGTAGGCTTAGTATTAATAATAATTTTAAATTTGTCTAGAAGTAGATCTAGAATCTAGATCTAGTCTAGATTCACTACTAACTACTTCATCAACTTGATGTTTGTTGAATCGAGTGAGGACAGTGTCTGTGCACTGTGCACCAAGTGTTCAGTCAACTTCAGTGTGAGTGTGTAGACTGTACAGTACATGAGTAGGCCTAGATTCTAGATCTACATGAATATAGGGCCTATAATTTTTAATTTACTTCTTAGTTAAGTTACTAGTTAGTAGGCCTAAAATATGAAAAGGTGCAGCATAAAGTATTTTGCACTAACCCTTCACGATCATCATCTCCGTTATTGCAATCACAGTCTTCGTGTTGTTCATCATCAAAGTCGAAATACTCGGGTCTTTTCCTTGGATTTCCAAAACCGAAAAATCTTCGTAAAATTTCTCCTATTGCGTTGTCCATGTTTAGAACTAATTACTAATTAAAGTTCACTCTTTATCTTGATTTGGCTATAAGTTGTAGCAATGAAATAAATTTTAAGAATTTTTAGTCAGTTAAGAAACTTGGGTTTAATGCTTTAAAATTTGAATTGCATCAGATGTGCCGACACTTCTAGAACAGTACAGAAACAATGTTTATTTACTTACTTTCGTCCTTCGTTTCGTAACTTCCTCTAAATACGGTGAAAGCAAATTTAAGATTCCAGAATAAAATACACCTAGTTATTTCTTGTAGAAGAATAGTAATAAATAACAATATAGCACAATATACATTGACATAAAGAGTTTTTCAAGTATAAAATAATGATTCCAGCACTTTAAGTGTAATGTGAAATAATATTTTCAATTTTCCGTAAACTCAACAATGAATATAACTACTGTTAGTGTAGGAGTGTAGATCTAGGCCTTAGCCTTACCAGATTGGACATTATATATTTAGCTGAGATAATACATATTTAAGCAATATAGCTATTCGTAATTATAAAATAAAAGCCTTTATATTTGTTCTAGGTGTATACTGAAATGTGTGTTTTTTAAGCGGTCATTTTTTTTAGGTTTTTTTTTCTAAATGGACCTTCAATCAAGGGAAACAAGAGCGAAAAAGCCGAGTTAAGAAAAATTGAGTTACATTTCCTGTTGTTGTTTTTTTTCATCCCTCTCCTTATGTTTTTATATATTCAAATGATGGAATAATACTTGGGATGTAGCAGGCCATGTTCCCCCTATTCGATACACATATTTTTAAAATGTCATTGGGTGTTTTATTTCCTTAGCCTTTGTGGCCGTATCATCAAATATGTCATGTCTTCTTTTACGCGTTAACCTCCCCCCCCTCATTGATATAAATTATACATCATTACAAAAATTCAGATCACCCCACCAAAAATAAAAGAAAAATAACTGAACAATGCACCCCCATCCTTACTACTAGGATTCAATTTTTTTTTCGTTTTTAAAATTTTCAGTAATTTCTTTCTAAATAATCAACCGAGCTGGGTATATTGATTCCAATTTATAAGAAAGTCAAAAAATAGGAAATGCGAAATGCCTGTTAAAATTAATATTTTTACTATTTAAAATAAACCCTAGCCCTCCCTAGCCCACCCCACCCACATATCCCTCATAACAGTTGACTTCATTTATCGACCACCCCTTTATAAACAAATTTAATCCTGTTTTATATTAATTGTGGGTTTTTTTTTTCCAAACCAAATGTCATATTAAAATGAAAGCATATTTTTGATAGGTCACATCAAAACAATTTTATTACTTTTTTTTTCTTTTTTGTAAATGTAGATAATTAAAATTCCGAGGTGGCTGTAGAGTTTCTTCCAGGCATCTCTTCGGGGGGGGGGGGGGGGGGGGGCGCGGAGGAAGAAAGTCTACCCCCCCCCCAAACGAGATGGAATTTATATAGTAAACATATACTTTTACTAGTGTCCGCCCCCCCCCCGCCCCGGAAAATGTTGACCGCCCCCCCCCCCCCGACAATATCAAGTGCCCCCCCCCCCCGGAGAAAAAAGTCTGGAAGAAACACTGGGTGGCTGGAGTGGGGTGGGTACAGGGTGATTTTTAAATATACATTTCTTTTGTTGGTGTTAGGCCAAATAATTTTTTTAAACCCGTGGTTTAGCTAAACAACAAGCATCATTACTGTGATTTAAGCTCCATCCCACAATCCACATAATGATCTGGTCTGCCTGGCTTGAGAGAATCGCTCCGAGTCTGTTCTGTCTGAAAAGAAATTCCTTATCACGTTAAAAGCACCGGTAGAGATAACTTCACATCTGAATTAAACAGTTCGACCTTTCTCGCCATCATTATCTCCCCTAGGTTTCATAATGTCGCTATACGGCGACCTTTAATAATGTTGCCATAAGCTAGTGGTGTTTTTTTTTCTGGTAACACCGCCCAACTACATTTCTATAACTAAGGGCAGGCAACTGATCCAGTGACCGGAACATCGAGATGGTCTCAGGCCTCGTTCCTGTAGTGACCGCCCCTGTTTTTTTATTTAGAAGGAAAAAAAAAAACACGAAACATAGGATCGATATTTTTGTCTGAAGTAATTTTGAGATTTATGTCGACTAACTAGAATGGCAAATAATGGCGGGTGGCATTTAAACTGCCAGCGTAAGTAATTGTTTTTTAGACATCAAACACATAATGTAGCACGAAAAGGGTGGGGATTTTGTGAATTCTGCAATGTTTATATTGCACAAAGTGTAAGGTTTTAACGATCGTTCACAAATTATATTAGAACAAAGGGGTGGGAGATGTAATTTGGTGGTATATTATATTTTGTTATGTATTGTGAGATAGTAGTCTAGTGAGAGGTTATATAGCATTTGTTTTTATAGACTCGATTTTAATTATTTCTTCAGCACGTTCCATTTTTTCATTACTCAGAAGAATTGCTGGAACTGTAATTAAAATTATTTTCAAAATATTTCATGAACTGTAGGCATATACAAAAAATACCAGCTGTTTAATTACATTTAAAAAAATAAAGATCTTTTAGTTAACTGTAATAAGGTTGAGGGTGATAAAAAATAATATGCGAAGATGTGGTGGATCAATAAAAAAGGTTTTGTGATGTAGGCTTATACCATATACGCGATAACAGTGCAGTGCTACTTGTTGGGAAACTATATATAACAACTGTGTTTTCTGCAAGCTAATTACATAAGTGTTTTACATAATTACAACACCTGGTGCCTCCCCCCCCCCCCCACCCCACTGAGTAACCAATGGCAACCATCCTGCCACACCACAGATTCAAAACAACATATGTGTGGAATGTTTGACGTTTCAATAGATGATATACACATCTGATTTCAATCATAGACATTAGTTCCCTCTTGATTTTAAATCTTGGTCACTTTTGTTGTACATAAAATCTAACAGGCATAAACTGGGCTCTTTTTGTTGATTATTTTAAAAAACTAAAGTACCCTTTAAACCTCACGGTCCATCAAAGCTCATCTGTTTCAGTGCCCTCGACTGGTAAACATCAGAGCTAAGGGGTGTTCTATTGACATGAATCTAAGATTCAAACTCAAAACTTTCGGGTTAGAAGTTATATACTCTACCTCCTGATCACGCAGTCCTACGTAAGACAATATTTTTAAAAGCTGTCAGGTAACGTATTTTATGCTACTACACCAGGTATTCTGCCTGTACCGACCACTCCATCATGTAGTTAAAAAAAATGGACATCACCCCTGTGTATCAACGTACAAACAACTACATCATCCACATAAAAAAACACCCTACCCCACAAAACTGACAGCTCGCTAATTGGTTTCCGCCCCTGAATGTAAAATTAGCTCCAGCTGATTGCCTCTTGGCTTCATATAATTACATCTACACCAACCCTATGCCCTGGGTAATTAGATTGCTCATTAATGTTCGTCATTAGCACATGAATATTGCAGCCTTCTGTTCTGAATGTTTATGATGTGGTGTGTATAGATAAATATACCAATACTGCTCAAAAGGGGTTATTGTTCTCTTTTATGGTTTTACAGTTTGGATGTGTAAACAGACAGGAAAAGTCTTCATTTATATATATATATATATATATATATATATATATATATATATATATATATATATATATATATATATATATATATATATATATATATATATTATATATGTGTGTGTGTGTGTGTGTGTGTGTGTGTGTAAACACAATATAAAAATATAAACAAAAAATTACCATCGGTATAGTGGTAAAAGCGCTGGTTGCTAATGTATTGAAATTAATTTTTGCTCTTTTTTAACTTTCTTTTTGTCCTTGGATACTACATACTGTAAGCACACAAACACACACACACACACACACACATATATATATATATATATATATATATATATATATATATATATATATATATATATATATATATATATATATAATCTGTGTGTGAGTGTATACAAACACATATGATTACCAAGGATTGTATATATTTTCCTATACATATTTTTTCTATAGATGGAGGTCAATAGTCAATTGCCAAATATAACTTCTGTAAATATTGGAAATTTCCTTGAAATCACTGCTGTATATAAACGTCACGTGTGCTACTTAAGTGGTGTTGAGGGTGTGCTCTATCCACCACCACACACCCTCACCACTTATGATGAACCTTAATGACGTTTTGTCCTCCGTCTAAAATATTAATGCGAGTTTGATTTGAGTGTTACCTCCCCTGCACCCCATTCTCTAAGAAAATAATAAATATGTAGATTAAATTTTAAATTAGTACTGCTTAAAATCTTATTCATTCCCAATTCACTTTTACACACAGCTAATACTTAAAACAACACAACAGTAATTTAAAAAAAAAATCACGAAGAAAATTTGAAATTTGAGTTCAGACTCAAAATTTATTAATTGTAATATTCATGTCAGATCTCGAGATGATGTATGCATGAATACATTATGATTAAAGCATAAGGGATGTATTTAATTAATTATTTTTTTTTAAAACAAACAAATAAAAATAATTGAGAACACACATATCCATACGATACAAATAGTATCACAAGTGCAGGAGGGGGGAACGAGGCACAGAGCATGTTAAGATCTCATGGTGTGGTTTTTAAAGTAAGATCAAAGGGCGCTCCGTGCTAAAGTTAGACAACTCTAGTGTTAGCTGCAGAAATAATTAATTATACGAATAAACATGTGATTCGAAGTTTAAAATTTTAAAATCATTATAGGTACAATTATTCTAAGGTAATGATTTAAAATTGTTAATAAAAACAAAACAATTATTTGTTCAGTGAGTTGAAAATTGATTTTAAAAACATAAAAATAAACATGAAAATATTTAAAATGTATTTATAGCATATTCAAGAGCATTAAATTACTGATACATTTTAAACACAATACAGCAAATGAATACGTTTTCTATATTGACAAACACACATTATTTCTATCTCTAATGACGTTTTAATATTTTAAAACTACACACTTTTACTCCGTATCTCTCGACAATAAAATTGTTCTGGCCATTCATCAACAATTTTTTTTTTTAAATCCATAATGGGAGAATATATTCTAAGCATTATCGTATATGCTGCGGTGCTTGCAAATTGTTTTTAAAATAAACAGAGTTAAAGATTCACTTTACACGCTAAACAAAAACAAA